GATTGAATAGATGAGATCGATCGAGATGAACGAGCCGAACGAACCGCTCCCTCATTTAAGCGAGCCGCGGGCGATATGTTGATCGGTGTATCTGTCATTCGGATATGTCAACAAAAAATAGCAGAAACTTTCTTTTCGAGGTTTGATCTCGATGTAACGCTTAGTCGAATATTTATTTATTCTTTTTCGACAGCACAAAGAAATCACTTACGACAGATTACAAATTAATATGAGATTCGCTTGCATTCAGATAAGCACTTTCTTCTTCTTTTATGGACCGTTGTCCCTTTTGGAATTAACATAGTGTCACATACTTTCCCCTCCCTATTTTTCTTCGTAATTTCCCTTAAAATTTTTTACATACCAAGATTCTCTATCTCAGTTTACTATTTTACTCACGCGAAGAAATAAAGAACTTATACTTCATAAAATCTTTCTTGTCTATTACTAATATAAGCATATACATATTCATGATAATCTCGTCATTTTAAAATCTAGCTTAATTTTAACTTTCTTAACAAAAAAAATTTTGACGTGAGTTTTAGATGATTACACGAAATATTTTTAAAAAACGGTTTTAAAAAATGGTTTTAAAAAACGGTTTAACGAGTGCATGCATTTTAAGGACCACTTCGACTAACTTCTATTAACTTTAATCGACGGTTAGTCCATTGGAATTAGCCAATCGCATGCTGTCAAATGCGAATTAGTCAATTTCAATGGGCTAAACATCAATTAAAGTTAATCGGAGTTGGTCGAAGTGGCCCTAGATCAGAGATACCCAAAATATGAATAGCAATATAATAAATTACATAAATTTTTAGAGTAATAAATTACACTTTAATATGTTATTGGCTATAAACTTGTGCCCTTTCATAATTTCATATACATATGTATGAAGTTGGATTTCTAAAAATCGTAGAAATCAAAACTATATATTTCAAAATAAATTACAAATATTCAACTCCTTGCGCCTAAAATAACTCGCATCGCTATCGATGTCAAAGCTATCAACAAAAATCATTAACAGGAAAAAAAGCTGCTAACAAAAATCATTAACAGGAAACAGATGCATTCTTTATACAATCTTTATCATATATTTTTGAGAAATAAATTAATAAAATTATATTCAACAAAAAATTAAAAACTAGAAAGAATAATATAGTATATAAATGATAATTAATTCCCCTTTCCTCTTGTTTCTTTATATTTGCTAACCTAGAAACCTAGATAAGTCGCAGGTGTTTGCCATTTTATAAAGTGGGTCGCAATTCACACAAATTTGGAAATGCCTTAGATAACAGACGAATTGTAATATTTTGACCTTTTAATGTTACATAAGCAATATTCATATAAGCATAATTTATATAAAAACACTTCTTATTATTCCAATCGATTTCAACTATTTCAAAATAAAAAAAAATTTAGAATTTGTCTTTGTTTTGACAAATTTCAAATTAAATTCCTTCAATAAAAGTTGAAAAATATTTTTTGAATAATAAGCGAATAAAAATGAAAAATTTTCAAACATTACTGTAAGATTTCAAAATGCTCGATTAAGATTATCTTAAACATAAATTATGATTTATAAAACATTGAATATTTATAATACTTCAAATAAATTTAAAAAGGTTAGAAATTGACAAAAAATATTTTTAAAAAGTTATTCCCAGTCCTAACAATTGCCTTTTTCTTAATTTATTGATTGCATGTAGGATTTTAAAGATAAGCCTTCTTTAAAAAGAATTCTTCTTGTCTTAAGACGATTAAGAAAGCTTTCCGTAGATCATTACATTTATGGCCTTTGCAGCGACATTCGCGAATACAATCGCTTGGAGCGTCAAAGAAATATATTCAAGAAATATAAATTCTATACTATATATGTCGCGCGCGGAATTTCTTCTTATCTATTTCTTTCAATCTTAAGAGAATCTTTGCAAACAAGCACATATATTTTCGTCAATTATCTGTTATATTCAACATGTATTAACAGTTTTCCATCGAGTAGATCAAGAGGCTTTTAATAAAAAAGCCATTTTAAAGTTCTTAAATTTGTATCTGCTAAGTTTGCTAATATTCCTTATTTTCATTCGTCAGTTTATTATATTAAAAAATAAAACTCGCGAAAAGTCGCGTAAATTACTGCGAGAGAATTTATCGAAATTCCAATGATTATTTTACAATCTGCATATGAATGGTGGATGATGCAGACTTTGTTTACTTATGTGACAGAAAGTCACAGAAATTCTATTCGGGTTCGTCCATTGTAACATTCACGTCCTTTTTCATTTATCAACTTTTTTGAGTTTGGTACTGAGCGTTTCCGCCGTTGTTCACCTCCGTCAGAGTTCGGGAGAAACAACTAGTTCTCAAAGGAACAAAACGGAGGACATCAGATTTTCACGGTCATCGAGACAAAGTTGATCTGGTGCTTCCTTTCGTAAGACATGGAGACAAAACGAAACAGGCGGTAGAGCATCACCGTAAGAACCTGCAGCAGCAGGGTGCCACGACATTCTTGCCTACAGCACCTCGTGCTGTAGGAGTTCGTGTCTTTACTTTCACTGCTCGTAGTCTGATCTAAGATACGTTGTCCCTCGCGGCGACACCTTTTCGCATCCCAAAGGGCTGTCACGGCGACCTGACGGTAGCCGTGAGCCAAAGCGAGAGACGAGCGATCGAGTAATTCCTGAATATGGATCGACCGGATGCAATAGCGTAATCTCTTTTGATCGCGACCAATCCACTCCAGCCACTAAGCCGGACAATATCTTTGCCGTTTCATTGGCAGCAAGACCGTTGGAATTTGAATTTACATCGCGCTGGGCGAAGACGAGCCACGGATTCCAGCATGGCATAAATTTCGCGAAATATGTGTGTGTATGTGTATGTGTGTGTGGCATCGGCAATCGAGATAGCAAAGATGACAAAGTGAGAGAGACGGAAAACATTAAAAAGAAGTAATACATGAGGAAATGTGGGTATACAGCATCGACCGTCTTCTAATCGCGAATGAAAGAGAAAGGAGGCTCATAGGAGAAGCCTATCTATACGCCTTCGTCTCCTCGGGATTCGATGGAGAATAAGAGTGAGAGTGAGAGAAAGAGAAGAAAGAAATAAAAAAATAATTAATATTCGATTGTTCTCAGATTTTTATGGAAGATTAATTTATGCATTTTGTATTTTACACAGAATCATCGCATATCCTCCTATCCTAGAATACTCTTTTTATTTTAGAATATTAGATTATTATTTTTAATTGTACTAATAATATCGAAAATTTAGATTTATAACCAGCATATATAACGTATTTTTCATATTTCCTTTAATAAAATTATTTTAATATTGTTATTATTAAAATCACACGGGTACTAATTACTTACTAACATTATGCAAAAGGCAATATGATATTCTCGAATAAAACAGTTTTTTATATAAATGTAATATTTATAAAATATTTATGAACTACCCACATAATGTTAATAATAAAAATAACAGTAACTTATTTTATAATAAATTTCTATGTAATATAAATTATTATATACAAATTTAAACAGCATACGTTTATACGTAATATATTTCCTATTATATTAGATGTATTTTAGCAAAAAGGGCGTAATATATAATATTTTAGTTAAATAAACAGAATTAAAAATCGCGCATGTTGATCTCGGGATCACTCGAAAATGACATTACTATTTAACGTACTTCGAAAGAAACAGTCGGTAATATTTCCTATACAGAAATGCAGAATATTTATTCGAGATTGATGACAAATTGCGTAAGTACTTTTGCAAAAATAAAAATAAATAAATAATACTTTCGAAAATATTGTCAATTTATCGGGCAATGTGCATCACCATCGCCGACATATATAGCTAATGTTCTGCAATCGAAATGTGAAAAGGTGCGTTATATTGCCCAAGATTATTGATTCCTCTCCAAATTCTTTAATACTGCTTAAAAGTCTAATATATTCTAGTAATTAAAATATTTGATAGCTGTGTCGAAAAAAAATGCGATTACTAAACTAATTACAAAGATAGCATCGAAACAAAGATATCTTGAAATACAATAAAATAACAATATTATAATAATAATATTAAATTATATAGTATTGTTATAGTAAATATAATTATAACATTAAACTAGTAACATGTGTGTTTATATTAATTTTATTTGATAAATACATCTCAATTGATTATCTATAGTCTCTAGTTGCTCTATTGTGTTATGAATATTTAATTTACCCGTTATATATAACATCCGCTTTGTAACTCACATAGGCGTTTTACTTTTATTAAAGATATCTTGATCTCATTGCGTTGTGATATGCTAATAGCGTTCATCGAGCAGAACAAGCCACGATAAGTCAAAATGACGTTAAAATGAATTCGTGACTGAAATAATCTTGACAAAAAAAATCTTATTACTTTAAAGCCATGTTGTCATTGATTTTGTTCCACTTGGGTCTTTAATATCTCAATTCATTACGTCATAATACATGCTAATATCGTGCTAAACATATTAATGGATTTGATCTCGTAGTAAGCTTTTAGGGTAACAAATATAGATACCGCGAGAAAAATTTCTGATGGTTGAAAATGAACGAAAAAGATGAACCAAAAGATTCCAATCATATTGATCAGAATTCTCAGCTATAAGAGTTACAGTAGACTCAGCCAGAAAATTCTGAATGGCCAGAAAATTCATTTTCAACGAAAATTCCGATTAGTACAACCAGACTTTTTGTTCATTGCAGATAAAGCGAGTGAATAGGCCTCCACTCGAGCATTGTGTAAAAGATAACGTAAAAGCCCGGGTATTCGCGACATTGCACACGCACTATGCGACGTAAGGGGGTGAGTGTACAAGTATCAGATATCGTAGAGTACCGTATGTATCGCTATCGCTGGACAGCTTTAGCACGGGTGGTTGCTGGCAGAGTGAGAGTGCCATATATATAGAGAGAAGGGGAAACTCGACTCGGCACTCCAAAGTACACAGCCTCCGCGATTGCAGTGGTGTGCTCTTTCGGTTTCCTTCCACCTGGTTGTCGCCTGATATTCATTCCCTCGCGGGCCGCGCGCTAGTGGTAACAGTCGGCCGACAAAAACCGGTGGTTTCCACACGTTCGCCTCAGAAGGGCATCCGCAGAGGACCAACAGAAATCCGCCCTAGGCCGCCGACACCATGAAACTTACGCTGTTCACGTGAGTACGCCTTTCGACGACTCACGATCTCGAGTCTACGGAGAATAATCGAGTGGTTCGATGCAAAAATGAAATCCATAATTCATAAGGTCCTCCTGCTACTCCGCAATTTAAAGGAGGCCCTTACGGATTATGGATTTATTTTCATTCTCGCATTGAGCTCATCGATTTCTTCCCCCGAATTCAGCCACTTCATGGTAACGAAAATCGCAATCACGCCTAAGTTTGATAGTGCGATTGCAGATCGTGCTTATGCAACGGACTTCTCTATTTTCCTCATCGAGCGTTTGTTTCGCGATGTTGCTAAATAAGAAGAGATGTTCCCTTTCGTAATCTTAAATTAGATATACGCGTCCGGAGGGATCAGAGAACTAGGAAATAAAAAAAAAAAAAAAAGCAAACCGTTCAATTGCAGTATCTCGCGAAGCGAGACGCAGTTACGTATTACACGCGTTTGATTAAAGCAAGGGGTTAATGAAGTTTAACGATTCAATCGTTCGCCCACTAATTTCGCGCGATCGTAGATTACTATTATTCGTAAATCACTTTTGGTGAGACCTGAATAATTCCAAGGCCGGTTATATGTTCGTGATTGAAAGGTATATGTATGCTACCCGTACACTTCGTTTCAGTCTTAATATCTGTCATCCTGTTACCTGTAATCAAAATTGCTAACCGCCTGCCAAGGAAACCGCGGCTGCCAGGCGTCGATAACTTTCGATCTTGCAGACATAGATCGATTTACGACGTTTAATAGCCAATATATCCCGGATCGTTTAGCGTGCTGTTTCCACATGGATCGAAGATAATGCATACCGGTTGCCGACTATAAAACACGTGCCCTGACTCTACAAGGAGTTATTCAATCACAACCTTTTATATATCGTCACCTATTGATTACATTCACACTACGCTCCCGTTCGACGACATTTCGATCCGATTCATACTCAGTCGCGAGTACGGCTGCAAATCAGGTAATAATAACGGGACGCAGAGAGGGACGTTATGCAAACGAACGACTGCAATAGCTGCACGGAGTCCTTTCCTGGTTCTGACCAGGAAATTGATTAGAAAAGCTATAGCGAGAGTGAGAGCGCATAACAGCGGTTATTATTAAAATTGAAATTAATAAACACCATTTACTCGAGAAAAATTTCGTATAAATATAACGGATGTCACCGTTGCTTCTCTCCTTGACATTATACTAATGAGCAATGCGTGGTAATGCGTCTTCGTTCCTACACAAGTCGGCGTGATAGAAAAAGACATCTATTATACTCGTATTTTAATATCTCTTCTAAAGATTTTTCTTAAGCACGTAATAAAAAAGCATCAGACGCAGCGATAAATACATATTATTGTCAAAGGAGAGGAGAAGACTCGAATAAAATACATTAAAACAAACCGAGAAGCAAAAGGAGGAAAAAAAAGAAAAGGAAAAGCTAAAAGTTTAATTTTCAAGAAAGAGGGGAAAAGAGAAATACATAAGAGAAAATTAAATTTTCTATTGTATCTTGTAATTAGTTTACATAAAACGGTTGTCATTTAATAAATTGTATTTTAAAATTACTCTTCCACAATTTCTTGAAAGGAAAAAAAGAATTAAAATATTCCTTTCAAGAAGAAATATGTTTATTGAAACTGATAACTGCTTTAATAAAATTGCGTTGGAATTTATATTGCAGAGAGTTACGATTCCATCTTCAACTTGAATGACAAATATAATAAATCTTTTTTACTAAACTCAGGAGAGAAGATAAGTAAAGAGAGAGGCTACAACGCTAAGAAATACTAAAATATTAGAAAGGCTAAAGTCGAGGGAAAGATGAGAGGTATAAAGGCGACAAAGAATTCTTATATGCAGGACAAGAGCAATGCAAACCCACGCACAAACGCTAACGACATCCTGCAGACGGAATATAATGCGAATGCAATCGCTTTCCTCCAAGGCGAAGTTCCAGTGAAGTTCAGTGATCTCGCGTCATGATGCGATGTAATCGGACGGATGATGAATTACTTCACTCGCGAGATATTATAAATCAAGATTTGCGTACGTCGGGAGATATTATGCTATAACGCGAAAATATATTCCATATTCGGACAGTTTCGCAATCCCGCACACAACACGAGAATTATGTTCATTAATTACGAGCGGCTATTCTCGTTTACCGGTGAACCGGTTCGCTGATAAAAAGAAAAAGTAGATCGCAGATTCCACAGGCGGGTAAATCAATTGCACGAACATAACTTCTTTTGGGTTTCATTTTAACTTTCCACTAAGATTTCTGTATTAAATATCGTCATTTCGTATTCATGCTCCTTTTTTTAACTATAATAAAAAAAAACTGTATCTTTTTTCTTGCAAAAAATATTTATAATATGTATTCCAAAAATAGTTCTTAGTTGAAAACAATGATAGTCACGTTTCTATTACTTCATTAAAATATTAAATGAAATATCAGAAGAAATGAGAGAAAAGAAAAATTAACACGATTTTAAGAAATTAAAAAATGATGAAGATTCTGAGAAACAATCAATACTTGTCATCGTATCATCATTTATCTTTTATATTATGATTATAAAATAAATTTAAACGTGTCACGCATGTAACTTTTGTTAATAATCATAAATCGATAAATTAATGCCTACAACTTCCATGCTGGATTATTAGATGCCTTCTATTATTCAGTAATTCAAAATTTTATCCAAAATATTTCAATACATCGAATCGAAATAAAATCCAGAATTAATGATAAATAATTATAATATGCTGTATTATGTATTACAAGAAATAGCGAATTATATCCTTCACAATAATGTATTTAGTGTAATATTAATCAAATATATTCGATCATGCGAGCAGTTTTTACATTCTTTATAAATACTTCGAATTATTTACTTTATTTAAATAAATAAATAATTGAACGAAAAAAAAATTTTTTTAAAGATTACAATTTACCTATACCTAGAGTTATAAAATTTTAAAAGCAAAAGTAGAACGAAAAAATAATCCCTTAAAAAATAAACAAAGTCAAAACTATATTATTAATCTTCAATTATTTGCACTTCAATTAAAATAGGCGGACTGTATTAATATAATCCCGTTAAGCATAGACGGTAAATGTCCTTGCTAACGGTAAAAGCATATCGCGTGATGTCGCATAATGAATAATGAGCAACAACGTTCCGTTTCGAAGAACTCGGGAGTCAGATTTTTATCCTCGACATAACGAGAATATTCATTTAGAATATTAATGAAACGCTGGTTAAAGTATCAACAATATAAAAATATTCAACGTTAGACGTTATCGTGGTACAATTTGATAAACGATACACATTATTTTCAATTAACTTCGCATACAGGCTGCGGGACAATTTTTACTTTCCAGAATGTATCCCTTCAACAATAAGAAGCATTACTCGCGAATAAAGGACTTTTGTGCAATGACGCGATTGCGATTATATATAGAAGCATGAAAAAAACTTGCATCAAGAAACTGCTAAAGGCCAACCTCTAGAGAAGAAGAAGCTCGAAGTTGTAGAAGTAAAAAAGGACACACTTAATTCGATATGTTGAAAATGCTAATATTATAGCTAATATTATAGTTGCGAGATTCAAATAGAACTATCTGGGCAAATTGTATTTCAGAAAGTTAATGTAAGTTAAATATAGTAATAAAAAGATTATCAATAATAATATAATGATAGTGTAGATCTGCTTTACGCTTAAAACATGTTCTATTCGATCTTACATATTCCCCATTGTTCAACTATTACTATTTATATTGAATTAATGATTATTACAACTATAAAATAGTTTATTCAATTATGTACATTAATTCTACATAAGATTTCATTTACATTGAAATTCGTGAATGGCTACAAGGTCTCACAAACGTAATGGAACCATTGAAAAATTTTTTCGTCGTTGAAGAAAGCGTACAAGGTAATCTTGAGAAATTTTGGTAAAATTATTCTGTCGCAGACGACGCTATTTGATAAATAAATACATCAGGGAATCTGCTTACGAATTCTGTACGAGCAATGACCAAGTTTGGACATGTTGTAATATATTTTAAAATATCTACTGGAAATTGAGGACGCGAATACAACGATACTGCTGACTACATGTTCAGAATTATTTATTTTATATTTAATGCAAAAATATGAAACTTTTTCTAAATTTCCATTAATCGGAAAGTTTTTTCTTTAAGATACGATAAGACGTAGAAATTTTTTTCTGAATTCTTTTAATAATTTTAGATATAATAAAAATCAATTAATAATTTCTCTATCAATAGAAAACCATTTAAATACGTTTTGACTTAACCATTTCCACGTAATGTCAGTCTATCTGTGTAAACATGATCATAATTAATGAATGACGAGATAAATGAATGAATTAATCTGAAATATGAATCAAGCTCGCTGACTGATAATTATCATTCCGTATTCAATAATTGAAGAAACAAAATTTTGATCGTACTCAAGTTTCAAAAAAGATTGACGTGTACTATTTCCGCATTCAGAAAAAATGTAGGAGTGATAATTATAAAAGTGATAATTGTAAGGGTGGCAACTGTATGTATAAATCTTATGTAGAATTAATGTACATAATTGAATAAATTATTTTATAGTTGTAATAATCAAAAATAGTCCATCTACTTCACTATGTAAAGTAATTCTGTATATAAAATTCGTATAATTGCCACCTTTTATAATTGCTATACAATATATTTTTTCCTCCAAATGCATTAATGCAATCTCTGGATTCATACAAGTAGCAGAAATATTTAACTCCTGATTATTGCGGGATACTAAAGTTTAGAAATTGTTATTAAAAATATTTAGATTTAAAGAAACAACACATTTTTTTGCACAATGATAAAGACATTGTCATTTCATTGCCCCAAGTATCAAATATCAGAAATCTAACACTTGCCAATTTAGTACTGAAAGACAATAGAAATTACTTATTTTAAGTATTGCAAGTATTGTTGTTCAGCCTTTAGTATCACCTTAAGTATTCCACGTAAATAATTAATTACTTCCTTCCAATAATAAATCACCAGCATTAAATTCGGTCAGTATTAGACTTCTGTAATGGAAGATGTCGTCATCGGTCTCATTTCAATTCACGTTTCGAATTCGTGCTTTCGCAATCATTCAACATGCGTATTCTTACTATAGATCGAGATCGCCGGGCTCGTCGTTTCCCGCGGATCCCTCGAAATTTCTCTCCCTTTCTTCATCCCGGGTTCGGCTGGTTTTCTTGACATTTGTGAGCCGCCTCACGTATGAATGTCCCGTCGTAACGGCGCGGCCAATCCCGAGCGCCGCGGCGCGCGAGTTGCACGAGAGAACCGTGCAGAGAAAGTGAGTCCTGTGTACGTGAATGTCACAGGTCAAAATCCATCTAGTGTACGCGGATCTACTACGAGCGAACGCGAACGCGAAACGCGAACATACGAACAAACAGGCAGCGCGCCGAGCGTACGTAATAATCGTTGCAGCGCACGTCGCGAGTAGGATCTTTCGTCCTCGGATTCCTTTTTCGATTCCTGGCGAAAGTTACGACTGGACAGCCGTCCTGTATACGCGTTCTGCGAAAATTTCCATTTTCATTTCGAAGAAAAAATTCCGATTTATCCCATAGTAAGGAACAAAATTCTTAAAAGGCAGATAGCTGTCAAAATTAAAAACCCCATTTTTTTTTCCAGGGAAATCTTTGAAAAGAAGCAAATCTTTGAAAAGTTTGGAAAACTCTAAAATTAGAAATAAGAATCGAAAAGAATTGAATAGAGTAGAGCTAAAATTTATGAAAATCTACTTTTGTCGAGGAAAGTCTTCGAAATTCCAACATTAGATACGAAAATTAAAAAGAATAAGTGGAGCTAAAAATTTAGATCAAATATAAACACAAAATAGATGTTACGTGATTTTACTCTCTAATAAAGAGGTCTCGAAGATCTCGGAAATAGTACAAGTCATAATATGAATTATATAAGAAGTGAGTCTTGCGATATATAAAATGGTTCCTTTTAAGTCCTTAAAGTAACAACTGCATAATCTCGCGCTCCAGCTACTAAGTTCTCTAAGCAATACCCTGACTTGCGTTTCACTGTTTTCTAAGTGCAGCCCGTCAATTTAACCGCAATAAACTCGTTTCACGACGGCGTTACGTGCTACTTAAATAACACATTTTTTTAAGCGCAAATAGCAATAATATAGATTGTACAGTTTTCACACGATCGTTCGATGATTTGGCACTTTTTTCTAGATCTAGAAAAACCATTTTCTAAGGCGTTTATATGCGTCAGTATGTTATAACCTGTCATCTGACAACACGATATTTATATATGATATTGCATTAAATGTTTGTACCCCTTCTCTGTTTGTTACCCTTTAAAAAGATATAAATCTCCATTTTAACGTGATCATAACTAAATATTAAAAGAATTATAATTAACATCTAAAAAAAAATTAATTTTTATGGATCTTGCTAACTAATAATATTTTTGCATAAATTTTACAATTTCATGCACACAGACTATACTCTCCAATACCAATTTCAACATGAGCACGAATGATTCATTTCTTATGTATTTTTGCTTGCTGAACACGAATTCGTTAGTCAAATTTGTCTATCATGTCATAAATTTGAGAAAAAGACATAAAAAAAAAAACAATAATTTTGAGAATTTTCACGACGTTGTATATATAGCAAATTTTTTTTCTAAATTTCGTTAATGTCGCGCGAAAGCACCAATTTTTAACTTTCAAATACATTTTGTTTTGTTATACAAAATTCGGTTAATAAAATTAACAAAATACAATATGTCAGGAAGATCATACTCTTAAATCATTATAGAATAAGACTTTTCATCTCTTCGCTTATTTTTCTTGTTAATTTCATAATTTTAGACTTTTTTCTTTCAATGAACAAGAAACTTTGTAAAAGAAAAACAAATTCAGAAAAACCATAAAACAATTATGTAATATTTTCTCGAAGTAATAAGAGATGCTAATGTAGTCAAAAATTAAAATGTGCGTGTTCTTTGCAGAATATTAGCCCTCTGTATAATAGCTGTCTGCAAATCAGCCGAAGAGGAATATGATTATGAAGAAGAGGTAGCAGCGCCGGTGACGCCAGCGCCGACAAAGCCAGCAGGTGGTCGACTGGGAGGTCTTCTATCTTCGAGGGGACGTGCCAGTATACCAAATGTAGGAAAAAAGAAAACACCGGTAAGGCCAACATCTTTTATATCAACGCGTTGTACGACAATGCACACGGAGTAAATGAAAATATGGAAATAAATTCAATATCTCAATCATACACGAAATAAATTGCTTTTTTTTTCTCCTTTCCCATTCCAGGCACAATCAACGACACCGAAGCCAGTAGAACAAGCACCCGAAGAAGACGAGGTGGAAGGAGAAGACGTGGTCGATGAAAATGAGGAAAACGAAGCGCCCACGACGACAACCGAATCTGCGAAGAAACTTCGGAATAACGGTGGTGTCAGGCCTTTCAGGTGATCACTCATGCAATGAAATATTCCGTCCTGAAATAAAACGTCTAGATAGATTTTATAACAGATGCGCATTTTGTAATTTCAGATCAAACGAGGATCTTTTGGCTGCCTTGAAGAGGCGAAGAGCTCAGACAGGACCCAGTACTCAGTCACGTGAAACTGCTGCCACGCATTCTGCAGTGGAACATACTACAGCCAAGTCGAAGTAATGCAATATTAAAGAAAAAAAAAACAGATATTTACTCTACAAACAGCACTTAATGATTTCTATTTCAAGAAGATAGTATATATATTATTTTCTAAAGATGAATGTCTTAAGCGTGCTTTTACACAAAATATGTATATTTTCTAATTTCGTTATGTATATTTTGAATTTCTTATTATCAAAATTGAAAAAATTATTGACTGTTCTGAAATTTTATATCCTTTTTTTTTTTTGATAATAATAAATGTAAAAAAAATAAATAATTCAATGGCGTGACACGTTTCCAGAGCCACCACAAGTAATCGTAACAATAATAGCAAGACCAGCGCAGGTAGCGAGGCAAAACCATCGGGACGCGGCAGGTTCGGAGGAAGAGGAAAGACTGTTCAGGAGGAGGTCGAGGAGACTCAACGAGAGGAGGTCCAAGTAAAACCCAAAGCCAGCTCCTACCGCAGGCGCAGTTAAACCGATCGCTAATTCGTGATGATAGTTGCCTAAGCTTGTTGATTTCTTAGAAACGCGCATCAATCGAATTCGACAATCGATCAGCGTCCGAAAACCGTCGTCTTTCTCACATAGTGTATTGTATTTTTATAAAACAATCTATCTTGCCGAATTCTTAGGTACTCAAACAGAACAAAAAGTCACTGTGACATCAAAATGTCTTCAAAAAATGATTACTAAAAATCATTCGATCAGTACGATTTATTTGAAACGTCATTCTGACGTTATTGTGACTTGTTATTAGGTCTGTGAATATTAATTCGGGGCGTACTTTCGATTTCCGTGTACGCGGATTTTCGATATACAATTAACATTAAATAAGAATTGTATAAATACATTCTGGACACGAGTTATATGGAGACATCATGTCTTCCTCAAATAACGACAGCTTCGTTTGTTTACATTTTACCGCGCGGTATTAAAAATATAAACGATCAATAGAAAGCTAGGAAATATCAATTACGTTACGACGGGTGTTAATCGAAAGGAACAAGATCTTCCTCTTACCTAAGGAACACATAAAAGTTAACAAAAAATCAAAGTTACTTTATTTTAATTCTTAACGTCCAATTTTGTAACAAAAAAATCATCAGTTTGACTTTCATGACGTCAAAATAAAGTCATTTTGACTTCCTCTTGACTCGGTGTGTTCTTTGGGTAGCCATATTGAGTTTCGATCGACGCGTGCATAAGGGATGATGGAGTAGTGATGTGTACATAGCAAAACACTGTCGTCCGTCAAGCACCTAAATCACCTATTGTATAAATGTAAATTAATGTGACAATAAAGTTTCTCTGGAAAGCGACACTATTCCTTGTAGCCATTCAATTGTTTTCACAACATAACTCCTACTGAAGATACTTTTCATTTATTACATGATTATGTCATTAGAATATGGAAAATACGGAATGTTCAAGATCAATATGCAAAGTTGAGATTATAAATTGAGATAAGCTTCTGTAACTACATTTTTTTATATAACATTTTTATAATGTATATTACTATCTGTGTTAATTAAATCCATAATTTACAGAAAAAAATATGAAAAGTGACTTGTAATTATAATAGATAACAGAGTTACAAAAAAGATAATAAAAATTCTACAATTTGTTCATGTAATTCATAAAAATTAATCAATATCTTATTTTTATAATTTTCAATAAAATATCTGTTAGTTATTATTTTTTAATAAAATTTGATGATTAAAATTTATTTTGTGCAGATGAGAAAATACAGCTATTTTTAATTATGACGTAAATTATCAATTAATTATCTCTTATGTATCTTTCTAACTAATATAGATGTATTGTCAAACTTATCTCATTACAAGATATATTTTAATCTCACGAAAAAAATACAAAGCTCATTGTTCATCAAAACAAAGATGAGAGGCAATTGAAGAAAAATGAACTGCTGCTGGGCTACACTATTAATCAAGTGTAAAATCTTTATTGTGTACAGCAAAAATTGCATAACAATGTTCTATTTGTGCGTGTATGAAATTTTATTCTTATATCAGATAAAAGTAACGTAATATTTATATTTATAAAGAATCTCCTCTAATTGTTTAAATATTTATAATTTAATATTTATTGTACATACAATGAACGTTATTAATTGCAATTAAATATTTACGTATGCCCAAAACTATTCTTTTTAATTATTCTATATTTAATTTATGCTAAATGTTTTTAGTTATATTCATAGCTACTTCACAGTAAAATGAAAGAAAAATTTGCGAAAAATTTATTACTTTTATTGCTTCTCTCTCTAATAAACTTTTCATTATTTAATCTCTTTGAACCTTATCTCCTTACAGAAATCTACCAATCAATTTATTATCAAAGTATTCAAAGCAAAAGAAAAGTTTGGAGAACTAAAAGCACTGAACGACAGTGATTTTAATACTTAAAATAATTAATTAATTACTGTGTTGAACTCAACTCAATTACTAATATTAATTTTCTGTAAGGACAAAAAGTAAACTCAAACGCGTGAGTCATAGTTTGAGATTTAGGCGATCTCGTAGCAGCAAACGTATTCAATTCCTGACTCATCCGATCGGCGCCGGACGCCTAGCGTTCACCATTATTGTCCCGTCACAGTTCGCAAATGCTCGAGCCGTGTAAAAATAATGCACACGCATCCTCGCGGAATGTGCACACAAGAGAAAACGTCCTACGACGAACTTCGGAATGTTGGAGGCGTTCGGGGCGTGCACTCCTGCATTCTTACATTATGCGAGTGTGGCACGAGAAGTGCCGCATTATCTACCACTCCCGAAACTCCGAAAGTTTGGTGCGACCGACCCACTTTATTGCCGATAAATAATCCAATCACGACCTCTTCACAACGCTCGTTTAATGCTCCTTTCACCCTCATCGAAATGTCTCTTGCGCACCCAAACTCACGATATGCAGAAATGTCTTGAACTGCACGATCAAAGCAAATCGCGAGCCAGGCTTTAAAAAGTGAAGCGCTTAAACGAATCAATTATTATATTTATTATAATTACCAAAAAATATTACAGCACGTTCTAATTAAACGTAGCTTATCACAGTAATGACAATGCAAACTGTGTATCGTAAATAACAAATCTGTAGAGGGGAAGAGTATCCAGCGAGTCATTCCTCATCGCTCAATATATTGCACATTTTAACACATATTGACTCCTACAACACACATTGACAATAACGGGTTTCCGGCACAAAGGATTTGAATGCTGGAAACTACGACTATCGGCAGGCTGCGATACAAATCTGCGACTAGTCCAAAACTAATCGAAACGTCGGCGTTTGCATGACCTATAAGTGACCGTAATTCGTCCGCGAGAGCGCTGAACTTTAAAGTTCATCATGGACTCAATTTTATATCGGGTGGAGTTCGTAGAGGGGATTTGTGGTTTCGGCTGTCCTGTGCAGCCTTGAGCCGATTGCAGATCGCGAGAGGACCGAAGTATCCAAAGGAAAGATTGTGAATAAAATATTAGAAAACAAAAAGAAACGAGAGAGAAACAGGGAGAGAGAGAGAGAGAGAGAGAGAGAGAAAGGTGGTCGCGACAGGGCTCGTAAGAGCAGAAATACGCGACAGGCAGGAAAGTGAGAGGAGGTGGTATCTGGTCGGCCTTGAGGCCTTTACAAGGAACATTTCACTCACAAAGAACATCCGAGCGGCGTCCTGACACCGGGATCGTACATTTTGGCCACGAATGACAAAAGGGAAGGTGAGAAGGAGAGGAAAAAAAAAACGAAAGCGGTTGCTTACGAGCAGCAGCAGGATCAACGCTATTCTTAGAAGTCAGAGAAGAAAAGAAAATGTCATAGGTAGAGAACAAGACGTTTCGACCTAACAAACATACGTAGGATTGTAGCGAAAAAAAATTGACATTTAAAATAAGCCACATACACCTGAGAAAAAAAATGGTTGTCATTATCATAATGTATATAGAGGTTAATGTATATAGCAATTTAATTCGCTCTCTCATCCACAAGTCTTAATGCCGGAAGACTGACATTGAATCGACGGAAAGAGATATATAATGTGATAAATCAACAAGCAGTAACATTGCAGCAAACGTAATAATCGGAGGAATATTTCAAAAGATAGTACGAAGACAACAATACGAAGATACACGTGCGTACATTCGCGATTGCACGTATATGAGCAATACTTTCGCGGCAGCCAGAGAATCTTACGTAGGCAGCCTACGTAAGATTCTAATCGTAAATCAGGAGTGATCTCGCCCACGGTTCACCGGTCATCCTTGATCGCGACGACATTCCGTCAGGAATTTCCCGTTTCTCTCGACCTCCGTCGTTATTGTCGGCACTTCCCGCCACTTCCCACCCTCAGTCGCAGCGAAACCGTTATCGTTATTGCGGAAGGAAAGTAACAAATAAACGTTTCTCTATCATTAACGAACGAACAAAAAATAGCGCCCGAACGAAGAATTTCGATGTCGCTATTTATAATTTCTCAGACCGCGCGTGCGAAGCTCTTTACCATCACGATTTATTATCGCTGTTATTATGGCAAAGGTTAAACCTGACTTCATCTTCGAACATTATCCATTCTCTGAATGTTTCTTTGTCTACGGATTCCCGAGTGAATTTAAGAACGTCTTTTCCTTGGTGAAGATTACATGGCATATCATCTCTGTCGGCAACTTTTTCATTTTTAATATTAAGCACACTTTAGTAATTGCGGTTTAAGAATTTATATTCCATGAAATTAAGATCCTAGAATAGGATTCGCTGCACAGTTTTGAATGGTTTTGTGGAAATATCTAAAAATTTAACTAGATACTGACCTGAAAATAATTGTGAACTGTCAAAATAATTATTCAGGACATTAACAAGGTAAAAAGTTTTTATGTCCTAGCAACTTTGTCCAATGTAATTATTTTGATGATCCAACAAGTTTTCAGATCTATATTTATCTAATTTTTAGATACTTCAGCAAAATTGTTCTTTCCGTGTGAAAATAAAGCAAAAATTTGTTATGCATTTCTAAATCTCTATCTGCTAGTATATAATGATGAAATAGTTGTAATAAATATATATGCATATTCAACTCCATTGCATATATTATATTATAATCAATTACATAACTAAATGCCTGAGATAGTCACAATATGCGACTTTTAAGTGTAAACAGAAATAACCGTGGGCAACAAGTCCCATGTTAACCTTTCGATAATGTCGTAGAAGAGGTCGCAGGAATAATCATGCTTGTATGTCTGTTTTTTTTAAACATCTGTCTAAACCTCTCTATATAGACTATGGCATATTTCGTAAAAGTTCCTTATTTTTAAGAATAGTTTTCTCAAAGAGAAATGACACGCCAGAAAAATGATCAATCAAAATAGGGATAATTTTTAAAGGTAACACCAGCACCAAATTAATTTTTTACGTTATTTTTGAAGAACATGAATCAAGCAGTTTATGATTAGTCCTAAGAGTTGATTTATGTTCAATACTGCCTAATAAATATTTTTTAAATATGCTAGTTTCTTTCCTCTCTCCTGAACAATTTAATATTTTTCAAGCTTGCGTCACTTTTCTTGCGGAATGCGATATTAAATGTTATTCTAAAGTATCAATTCTTGCGCTGAAAACACATGCTGAATACTTAAATAATAATCTACTTAAATCGTTGAATATACTTCATTACTTTGACTTTTATTGTCACTGTGTTGTTTCAAAATGTAATCTAAAATAAACATAATAATTACCGATACAAGGAAACGTGACAAACGTGACGACAAACGCATGCATCTCAGCGAACTGCAATTGCATTCACTGTCGCCGACAAAATGTCATTGCAACATAAGGAAACGATTATGGAAGTATGGTATGCATTATAACACAGCGTATTGCACAAACTGTAACAGTGCATATCCTCCAAGAGCGAATAAGTGTGTTTGTCGATTACATGCGCACTATAGCAGCTCATAATTACATTTCATTTGCGAGCATAAAGGAGAGTGTTGCGCTAGAGAGAGATATCCTAATATATCATTTCTCGCGAGGCTAGGGATTACACAAGACATCACATCAAGATGATGTGCGAATAGGTTCATCTCTCAGAGAATGATATAATAATGAGATATTATCTACTGCTTGACGAGAAATATTGGCGAGAGCGAACGCAGGAAGTATAAAACATAAAGTACTATAGTATACTAATTAAATAATATTAGCTGATTAAATAGATGAGAGCGAAAAATATTACAAAAAATAATTTCATTTCTTGTTATACAAATAAAATAAAACAAAACAATATAAAAGTAATAAGGTCAAAAA